TTCTGGAATGGTGGAGTCCTGCTAGGAGGTGGGAGACTGAACCGACTGAGCTATCAGGGCCATCCACCAGGCATGCTTCTCTGGCGGGACCTTGGCAGCCTCAGCTCAGTCAGTGGTCAGTAAAAACCGGACGAGACACAGAGAGATGATGACCCACCTGACGTGAAGTGGAAACCACAGGTGAAGGCCCTCAGTCCCATATGTGAGAGACCTAGAAGCCAGAACCAGGGTAAACAGGCCTCTCTGCAAATGTGAAAGCTCAGCCAGTGGTGTGCTGGTCGACCAGCCCTCGGGAAGGAGAGTGGAGGGAAGAGCCCTGATGGCAGCTTTGTCATTTTCCTTGCTGTAAATCCTCCCACCATGGCCAATGTGAGGGGCCCATGTGACATCACTGAATGCAGAGCTGGGAAGAGAGGCACACAGCTCTTCCACACGGGTCCTAGAGCCCCACTCCATAGCTGCAGACTCTGCCCCAGGACAGGACAAACGCCTACATACAGTCCCTTGGGCTCCAGTCTGGCCTAAGTCCTTTCAGAGAGACCTAGCACCTTGCACTGAAGACAACTTCTTCCTTCTACCGAAATGAAACCTGCCTCCTTATAATCCCCATCACCTGGTCCAGACTCGTTCCCCTAAAGCCCCGTGGTCAGTCTTTTCTCTTTCCTACTTCTACAACCCAGTTCTTCACCTGTGTCTCTTGTGGCAAGGCTTACAGACCCTTGCTGGCCTGGCACCCTCCTCTAGGGGTTGCTGGGTTTGTCCTGTGTCCCTTAAAGAATGGCTGGGCGCCTGGGTGGCTCTGTCGGCTAAGCATCCAACTCTTGGTTTCCCTTAAGTCATGATCTCAGGGTCGTAGATTGAGCCCCGTGTTGGACTCTGAGCTAGGTGTGGAGCCTGCTTAAGATTCTCTCTCCCTCTCCTTTTGCCCCTCCCCCCTCTAAAAAAAAAAAAGGATGGCTTACAGAGATGGGCACCTCCTTCCATGTGGGTCTGAGCAATGCCAGGTAGAACTTTTCATCATGGCTCGAACTGAACAAGAGGACCTTTATCTGAGTCTTTCTCTGGATTTGTTCTAATTCCTTGGCTGGTTTATAAGATTCCAATGGTGAACTTTAACCTTAACCTTCTTTCTACTCCAATACCCAGTACATGCCCTGTGTTCACTCTGCGGTTATTCAGTAACTGCTGGCCAGGTTGACAATGACCATTATCAGGCCCCTCAGCTCCTCTGATTCTACAAAAGACCAGCCTTAGACCTACACTACCATGCAAGCCAGGGCTGGTAGGCCCCCGTAAGAACACCAGGAGCCCACCCCTTTCCCGAGAGCTGGGCATCACTGTCCGCTAAGCAGCTGTGGACATTGTCTTTTCAACAGTAGAGGAGACTCTACTCAAACCAGAACCAGAGCCCTCGGGCTAAACTGTAGGCTTAGAGTATTTTATTCTTGGTCTGACTTTCAGCACACCCGTGCTCTTTATAATATATTATTATAAATGTTGTTATTTTTGTGACTCTTGTTTGTAGGGAACTTACAATATGTCCAGCCTTTGTCCCATATATGTGGACAGGTCATAGGAACACAACTGTCCTCACCCTCCCCTCCAGCTTTCTGCACAAATTATCCCCAGTCTTCACTATAGCTCAGGAGTCTCCATTTCACAGACTAAGGAAATGAAGGTAGACACCTCAGATCAAAAGGCCACACTACTAAGGGGCACCTGGGTGGCTCAGTCTGTTAAATGTCCGACTCTTGGTTTCAGCTCAGGTCATGATCTCAGAGTTGGGCTTGGTGCTCAGCAGAGTCTGCTTGAGATTTTCTCCCTCTCCCTCCTCTTCTGCCCCTCCCACTGCGCTCTCTCTCTCTCTTTCTCAAATAAAATAAATAAATAAATAATCTTTGAAAAAAAAATAAGGCCACCATACGATCCAGCAATTGCACTACTGAGTATTTACCCCAAAGATGCAAATGTAGTGATCCGAAGGGGTACGTGCACCCCAAAGTTTATAGCAGCAATGTCCACAATAGCCAAACTGTGGAAAGAGCCAAGATGTCCATCGACAGATGAATGGATAAAGAAGATGTGGTGTATATACACCATGGAATATTACGCAGCCATCAAAAGGAATGAGATCTTGCCATTTGCAACGACGTGGATGGAACTGGAGGGTGTTATGCTGAGTGAAATAAGTCAATCAGAGAAAGACATGTATCATATGACCTCACTGATATGAGGAATTCTTAATCTCAGGAAATAAACTGAAGGTTGCTGGAGTGGTGGGGGGTGGGAGGGATGGGGTGGCTGGGTGATAGACATTGGGGAGGGTATGTGCTATGGTGAGTGCTGTGAATTGTGCAAGACTGTTGAATCACAGATCTGTACTTCTGAAACAAATAATGCAACATAGTTTAAGAAAAAAGAAAAAGAAGAAGATAGCAGGAGGGGAAGAATGAAGGGGATTAAGTCAGAGGGGGAGACGAACCATGAGAGATGATGGACTCTGAAAAACAAACTGAGGGTTCTAGAGGGGAGGAGGTAGGGGGATGGGTTAGCCTGGTGATGGGTATTAAAGAGGGCACGTTCTGTGTGGAGCACTGGGTGTTATGCACAAACAATGAATCATGGAACACTACATCAAAAACTAATGATGTAATGTATGGTGATTAACATAACAATAAAAAAATTAAAAAAAAAATAAGGCCACACTACTGTGTGAGAAGTCCCAAGAGCTGTGGGCCCCAATGGTCCAAGCTTCCTGGGCTGGCTTCTCTCAGCCTCAGGAGCTAGGGGAGGACCTGGCTGTCCCATCCAAACCCTGTAAGCCAGGACAGCTGTGGACATCCTACCCCCCAGGCCCCACAGTTAAAGGCTATTCTTGTGCTGGACCAGGTTACCTCACGGTATCCTCCAACCAGAGAACCTTCTCCAGACCAACAAGAGATATAAATCCTTCCATAGCTCAGGCCTGGGCCACCAGCCTCCTTCACGTGGCTATGACATCCTCTGTGGTCAGGACAGAGCCTGAGTCAAGATCCCTCACAGTTTCTTATGGGCAAACAGGTCACAGACACACGTGGACTGCCACTGCCCACATGGGCTGAAACCTGTGAGTTCCCTGGCTCCAAGACAGACCAGGAGCGGTCAGTGTGGTTGCAGGTCTGTTGTGGTACACCTGTCCCAGCTCGGAGAAGTACTAAACGGCCCACAGATGATCCAAACAGCAGGTTGATAGGGACAGGTAGGCAAGAGAGGAGGTGGCCAATGGTAGTGAATACCATTTTCTCTTCAGAGGAGATTTGTCTAAGGTGTCGGCTGGAGTCTGGAATTCCTTCCCATTCTCTCACTCTCATACGGGAGCCTGTGCGTTCTCTCTCTCTCTCTCTCTCTCTCTCTCTCTCTAGTACTGCCATCCTTATCCTCTGCTCTGGTGGGGCTGCCAGACTGGATGACCCTGAATGGGGCCCCCTTTCTGGGATTCAACTGTTGATGTGTAGGGTTTGTGCAGTCCCTGGCATGCCTGGTAGCAATCAGCCTCCCACTGGGATGGCCTCGTACTGAGTAGACTTTCATGTTCTTATTAAGTGAAGGCTAGTGGTTCAGAATCATTCCCCTGCATCTGTTTGGGGTTGATGCCTAATCACAGCTCTCAGGCTCTCCCTGCCCCCTCATGCTGAAAGATTAACATTAAAGAGAAGAAAGGTGCTCTGATTTCTGCTGCTGGGCCGCCAGCTTGGGTCTGGAGCTCTGGGGAAGATGGGGAGGCTTGGTTTTACCCCAAGCCTTGTGTTCAAATCCCAACTCAGCCATGAGCAGCTGGGTGACTTCAGGCGGTCTCAGAACCACTCTGATCATCGGTGCCCGCCCCCTCTAGGAATGTCTCATGTCTTGTGAGCTTTCCAGGAGAACTTGTATCTGGCATGGAAGGACTTCAAAGCCCTGTGGGTGTGTTAGCTGCTGGTACCCAGTCAGGATCTCGTCCTCTGACCCATGTTCCAGTCCCTCAGGGGCAAGGGGTTTCCATGGAGCTTTCTGGAATTCGCAGACCTTCCATAAGGCATCTTTGGGCAAGAACAAGGGGGTAGAACCAGCCTGTGGCATTCACCCTAAGCTTCTCCCAGAGGCATCCCCCAGCAACGGCTCACCCCGTCGGCCCTGCCCCTCCTGCCCCGCACACCAAGTGGGAGAGACTGCATTTGCACACCCTCATTTTTGAAGGCAGAAGAGACATGGCGCGAGGGCCTCCGTGTAGCTACATGGATAGCTAGATAAATAATTACTAAATAAATAAATAAATAAAAATAAACAAAGAAAGCCTCCAATGAGCTTGAATTGCTGCCGTGCTGAGAGGTAACTGGCAGATTCAATTTAATTGTAAGATACAGAGTTGTAATGGGGTGCGTGAGGCTCAAGGAGGATTTCAGTTAATGGGAGGACAGCAAGGACTCCCTTGCCTTCTCCGCCGGCTCTTCTAACCCCACCGCCTCCTTTCCTTCCTTGCCTTGTGGGCTGGGGCAGCGGCAGGAAGATCTGCCCGGCCCTGGAGGCCAAGGTCCAGCCCACCTGCAGGCCTTGGCTCCTCTCTAGCTTCAGTTAGCAGGCCCCGGGCTGGGCCTCGTTCAGGACACGCGAGAGGAGGGGCAGGGCAGGGAGGGGCTCCATGCTCCCAGCCCTGCCTTCTCCTGCCCCCGTGAAGGTGTGCAGTTTCTGGAGGACACAGCTCCTGCTGTAAGGCAAGGCGTAGCTACCGGACTGTGAAGAGACAACTCTGATTTATTTGCCTGGGAGCAAAAGTATGCCATCCCCTGGCCTGCCTCCTGTTCAGCTTTCTATCCAGAAAGTGGAAAGGGCATTCCCCCAGCGCACTGAGGCTTAGCTGACCCCCTTCCGGCCGCAGGACCCTATAGTCAGCGAGCATGTGCTCCCTCGCTCTTTCTCTCTTCTCTCTCTGTCATACCATCCCAGTTGCCCTCATTCTCTGTTCTGGGGGGCTGCCGGGTTGGATGGCCCTACACTCCGTGTACTTCCCCAACTCCCAGGACATCGTTTCCCTCTTCCGCCCCCTTCCCTTGTTCCAGGTGAGAGCAAACATCTGCCTCCACCCCTCAGCCCCCTCACCCCCCCACCCCTGCTCTCTTCAGACATGGGCCGGAGGGCCGAGGCTGGCCATTCCTCTCTGACTCCACTGATAAACGCCTTAAGGCCAGCTTGTGGCCCTTATGGGACTCTCTTGGTTAATCTTCACCATTTATGCTTTTATTGAGGCCATAAATGGGTGACAAAGAGGTTTGCAAACCCATAAGTAAACAGTAGCCACTCTCCATGTTTCCCTGCCCTGCCCGCACCTCCCTGTCTCCCCTGGAGGCAACCCAGCCTTCTCCAGGCATGCACTCTCCAGGGGCCCGGCTCCCACATGGACTTCTCAGCGCCCCCTGACCACTGGCAGAAATGCCCGTGACCCCAGTGCCCAGCACCCTCTGAACACACACGGTCCCCTTCTTCCCACCTAGGTCCCTGCTGGTCACCTAGGCTGTGTGCTCAGCATCCAGATGACATCCCAGCAAAATGGCACAGCCTGGGCTCTGGGATCAGATGAGCCTCGATTTTGGTCCTGGCTCCTACACTTCCCAGCAGCCGTGTGACTGAATTATTCAACTTCCCTCGGCCTGACCTGTACAATGGGGCCAATAATCCATATTGTCAGGAATCTGTGTGAAGATTAAATCCATGTATCAGTTTTATAGTCAGAGCATTTTATTGGGCCTCTACCTTCCCAAAAATCTGGGTCTCAAGAGAAGTGCAAGGGATGGGGTGGGGGGGTGCGGGGTTAAGGGGGGATTTTAAAGGCTTCCTTATGGCCCTCCGTCTTAGGCCTTTGGGAACTCCATTGGTCTTGAAAGAAAAAAGAGAAAAGAGATGGCCTCTTTCTGCCTGGCCTCCTAGCTGTGATTGACTGGCCATACCAGGCGGAGCCTCCCTAGGGAGAGGGCATACAGCTGTCAAGCATCTGGTCCCATTCGAACATTACTCACCAATTCCAACTTTCTCTTAGGAAAAGTCTAAAAGCCTTGCAGGCATATGGCCTTCAGCAGTCCCTGTTCCTCACAGGATAAGTAAAGTGATGACAGGCCAGGGGGAGGAATGGCCTTCATGACCCTGTTTCTGTGTCATATTCCCTCACGGAGCGATTAACCCCCTGGGATCAGACATCTTAAACCAGAGATGGCTGAGGTAATCTTGTACATGTGATAAAACTGTTCCCATAAAATTCTTCAACTAACATTAAACTTTCCCCGATCCCCAGCACCTCTCACAAAGATATTATACCAGTCATCCAAAGAACCCCACGAATAATCAGGTTTACTGGCTTCATCACTTACTAGCTGTATGACCCTGAGTGAGTTATTGAATCTTTTGGATTATCAGTTTCCTGTTTTATCAGATAGGAATAATAATAATACTTAAGAGAATTTTTATGATTTAAAGAAGGTAATGTATGCAAAGTGCCTAACCCAGAGACTAATCAAACATAAGCAATCAGTAAATGGCAATTTAAATGGTGATGGTGAATTAAGTAAGCTTGGCCCCAGATGATACCAGCCAGTAGAAAGTGGGCAAGGCCAGGCTGCATCCAGCCCCCAGGGGGTGGGGTAGCCTATGTCCCAATTCCAGGGTGCACAGGAATGTGGGAGAGCCTGCCAACCCTGGGGCTTGCACTGATACCCAAGTGGCCCAGAGGAAGGCCATGCTCTGATTCAGTTGGTGGCCATGTTGGAATTCCAAGCGATGAGAGCTAGGAGAAAAGACTCCAGGCAGTGTCTGAGGGTAGAAGATGAGCCCAGCCTTCCATGAAAAGAAAGATGACAAGAGCCAGGCAAGGTATCAGAGAGCCAGCCCGGTGCGCTGAGACTCAGCTGGTGAGGAGCGTATCTTCCAGAGAACTGAGAACAGAGCGTGGCAAGGTGCACCAGGCATGCCGTCAGGCAGACAGGTGGACTCAAGCTTTGCCACTCAATAGCTTAGGGAGCCTAGGTAAACTCCTTAGCCCTCTAAAATGTCCATTTCTTTATAAAGAAAGGGAAGAATAGTAACACCTGTCTTTACAAGGTCCGTGTGAGGGGAAACAAGATGAGAAAAGTAAAATGCTCATTGCTGCTCAATAAATGGCTGATGTGTCTTGACCACAATGTATAGCGTCAGGCCAGTGGAGCAGGAATCTGGGGAAGCCAGAGGAGTGAGGACCACATGGGCACCAGACTTCCCGCAGGTCCGTGGGGTCTGGGGCCAGTGGCAACATAGACAACCATGGGCCCCACAGCTGGTGAGGAGTTGCTGATAGACGGTCCGCCTTTGCCACCCGGTGGATAGCACCATGCTAGGCAGTAAATGGAGGGCAGGGGCGGGCGAAGGGCTTCCCCAGTGTCAGTTCTTGCCATTGGTGCATGAAGCTGCATGTTCCTTACCATCAGGTGTCTGAGGGAGCTGTGCTCCCTGCAGGAGCAAGCAAAGGTGGGCTGGTGGTCACAAAGACTCTTTGGAATTATCACAACAATTGTTAACTCTTCTTAAAGGAGGGTAAGCCACTTGAGCTTTTCATGTAATTCATTATTTTAAAAACTTAAGACGATAGCTGTTTCAGGTTACTCTTATAAGAATTTAATTGGGATGTAATAGCATAGTTAATTAAATACAAATCAATAATTTAAAACAACTAATTGATACTTAATATGAATGGGGGGAAAACTTAGTTCTAATATAATTAACTCAAATAGATAATGAAATAACCATTATGTCTTTACAACAATGTAAAGTTTATGGTTCTTTAATAAACTTAGAGTTAGCAAGCAATGAGAATCAAAAATTATGAAACAGGTATCATTGGGCTATTAAACATTTATTACTTGTCCTGGAGGGCCAGAGCCAGACACTAGTCAGGATTAATAAACCTTTGCTATTCCTCTCTTCAGGCCTCTTTACTAGAGAGGTTGATCAGAAAACTATGATCTCTGCATGATTTATGGGCATCGTTACTGCCTGGGATGTGAACTATAATGCGGCAAACAGGATGAAACAGAATTAAAGCAGAAAACAGGAGTTTAGCAGAATCAAGGTGAGAACTTTCCAAACGTGACACTCTGGCATCCTGTGATGGGCCAGGCATCCTGGCAAAGGGGCTTTTGATGGCCCATCGCCCATGAGTCAGGCCATCAGAGTGGACACCCAACAAAGGCAGATCCCCCAGAGAAGTCTCCAGCCTTCAGGGTCCTGGGGGAGGACCACCCCAAGACCCGCAACTCCTTTTCCTCCTTGGAGCTCCTACAACAACTATGGCCATGCATGTGGAAATAACTCGCGTGCTACTCATGACCTTTTGTTTTCCTGCACTATTGTGTTTGATTTTTGTTCTCCTCTTCCCAAGTATATGCCTTGCAGAGTCAACTGGACTATGATCTCATTGTGAAGGGAAGCTGGCCTTCCATGTTTGTGTCTGGTACATGGTAGGGTCTCGATGGGCTGGTTGTGCGCTGGTTGTGCAGGGCTGGTAATAACACTATGGCAGAGTCTACCCATCCTATCCCACTGCTTTTTATGTCATTCATTACATAACGAAGTGGTCTACAGACCAAGACATCTGCGCTCCAAGATCAGTAAGGCTGATTACAAATGTATTTCTTCAGATCTCAACTCCTGCTCATGTCACCATCCCGGACCCCTTCACCTGGGAACCCCATCACCTCAAACACAAGAAGTCCAAAAATGCACCTTTATCACCCCATGCCCGAACTGACTGCCTTGGTCAGTTACTTCTGACACAGACACTACCCTTCTCCTGTTCTGCCCGACTAAATCCACTGTGGTCATCTGCCCCCTTCCTCTGCTTGAGCCACTCTGTCACTCAGCCCATTGTCTCTTCCCCAGAATGTCTTTCAGATTCATCACTTTCTCTCCATCCCTGGCACCTTCGCCTTGCTGCTACACCCACCTGGTTGGCCTTCCTGACTCGCTTCCTCTTCCAGCCCCTCGGCTTGTGGCTATCAAGCTAGCCTCCAGAGAATGCCACCCCGAAGTTCGTTGTATCACCTTGGATGAGTCTTCCCTTTAAAGAAGGGGGAGGATGAATCTGACAGTCCCTAACTCCCAATCTGATATTTTGTTTCTGTTTCTTGCGCTCGCCCTTATCAGCTACTGGATCCTGGGCACCCTTCACCAAGTGCCTCTGATTTTCATATTAACCACGAGCAGAGGGTCTTACTCTCCATATCCACATTTTATAAGTGAGAACATTCAAGCGCAGAGAAGCCCTGAGCGTCCCTCACTCTCATGTGCTGGAGCCAGGCTCCAGCCAGGACCGATTGTATTGAAACACACATGGCTTCGCTGTGACTCCAGCCAGGTCCAGCTGACGCCTTCTCCATATGGTCTCAGGAACCATCTGGTGAGCTATTTGCAGCCCCTCCACCACTCTCCTGCGTCAAGGTGGCAGGGGATAGAGGCTCTGAATGTCCCACTGAGGAAGCTCAGGGTCCTTGCCCTTGCTCTCTGATCTCAGGCTGTCTTCAGAAAGAGGGGACAGAGAGCAGATGTCAGTCCAGCATGGGTCACCAGGAGGATGGCAGGCATTGAAAAACTGCGCTCACTTGTCTGGGCTTACCCCCGCCCATCCGTCATCTGCACAGTGCTAAAATGATCTTTATAAGATTCAAGTCTGGTCTGTAGTTTCCTTCTGAGATCTGTGAGAGAAGAATCTGTTCCAGGCCTCTCTCTTGGCTTGTAGACGGCTGTCTTCGTGTTCATATGGCACCCTCCCTCTCTATGTGTGTGTCTGCCTCCAAATTTCCCCTTTTTATGAGGACACCAGTCCCATTGGCTTCGGGCCCCCCTAATGGCCGTTTTAACTTGATTATCTCTGTCAAGTCCTGATCTTCAAACAAAGTCACATCCCGTGGTACTTCTACATGTGAATTGGTGGGAGAGACATAGTCCAACCCAGAACACGGGCCCAGCCAGGACCGCCGACCTGTGTCCTCTATTGTCTTGATTCATAGCATCGACAGCCCTGGGACCCCAGACCTTACTCTGAGAGCTAAGCTAGAAATCAGACCTGGATTCTAGCGTGGGCACTATTATCAGCTAGTGCTTTGGCCTTGAACTGTCCTTCTACTTCTCTGAGCCTCGGTCTCTGAAACCAAAATGGAGGAAATAGACCATTCTTCCTCACCTACTTCACGGAGCTACTGTGAGCCTCTAATAAGGTAGTGAATATGACAGTATCGTGAAAAACCAAGAGTCCTGCAAATGTGAAGTAATAGCACTGTATCATTGTTATTACTACTAAGAATAAAGAAATCCTAAGGCTAGAAAAAGTCCCATCTTCACCCTGTGAAACTGAAGGAAAACGGTTCCATTTATAAAGTCATCCCTTTTTATTCCTCCCAGAGGAAATCTCACATTTCCTAGACTTCTCTTCCAATGAATTACAACTTTCATTCACTCGGCAACCACCCTCACCTAACTTACTCCGTTGTGCGACGTCTCAGCCCACCTGATTTGATTCTGACCTAGGGGAGGGGAGAGCGGGTCATTACCCAAGAGTCTGTGGTTGGCCCTCTCATTGAATCAGAAGACTGTCCCTGAGCTCCTGCCAGGTGCCAGGCACTGTGCTCGGGACCAGGGACTTAGAGCTGAAAACAGCACAATCCCAACCCTTCTGTTGCTCAGAGTCTAGAGGCTAGGAGTTCCTAGGGTGCGTACCCTCTCCCCAAGAAACATGCGCTTTCCCCATAAATGTTTCCTTGCACAGTAGGATTTCTTAAACCTTTGCTCTCGTCAGACAGTGCCCTCCCCACCCCATCTGCCCGTGACCCTGGACTTCTTTGCTGTGAACTTTCCTTTTAATCCAGGATGACTCGATTCACGTTCATCATTTTCCATGGACACCTTTGGTGCGTCCGGTGGTTCTGCTACTGATAAGTGCTCAGCCAAAGTCTGCAGCCCCAAGGTCACCGTGGAGAAGACCCTGATATCTTGCTGTTAAAATGGGCATCTGTGATCTGACTCCACCTTCAGTCCCAGTGCCTTGTGACAAGGACGGTGACAGCCTGGTGCTGTCTGGCTCACAAAGGGAAAGATCCCTATTCTTTGTGTCACATTCTATCATCTCTCCCCTAGGAACCTGGTTAGTCTGGTGGGGTAGAGACGCCCCAAGACATAGTGGTGACCTCCCGCTCAGTGCCTTTGACAACACACCGCCTCCCCACCTGGGCTTCCACAGTCTCCTCCCCTCCCCCACTTCAGCCCCCCTGGCCTGTTTCCTCATGCAGACCCAGTGACTTCTAATTTAGCTCTGCAAATCTCTTCGAAGAACATCCCAAATTTCCATATGCGCATAGATGTCTAATTCTCACTTCACTAATTCTCCAACCTGCTCATTCTTGCCAAGATCCCAGTGGCTTCTCCCCACTTCTCAGTAAGGACTCAGTCGGAGAGCACTCTCACTCAATACATTTCTGCAGTGTGCTTGTTAGCGCCTCATAATACAGCTGCCTAAATAAGACTAACCCACACGTGTCAAATTAAATAAGCCAAACACGTTAAGAAATTGCTCATCCTCCATTTCTTTTATTAATCAGGTTTCTAAAAAATTCTTTTCCTGCTCATTTGCAAAAATCAAACATGGTCAGTGAGACTCTTACTTATAATGACTGTACATATGGCCTCTTTCCTCGGGCAGCCACCCTGGGGGCAACCCATTATGTGACATAGGATGGGTTGAGTTGGAGTGGCAGAGGCAGCCAACACAGATGATCTGGAGTCAACAGGTTGACCCCACTTTCTAAATGTCTAGGAGAATTATGCCCCCTCCGTTTCCCCGGGAGCTTGGGGGAGGGGGGGGTCTAGCAAAATCAACAGGATTTTGGCCTAAATCCGTCCAGCATCTTGTGCTCCCCTCCCCCGCCCCCGTGCTTCCCTGGACTCGATGCAGGAACCCCAGTTCCTTTTCTCATTAGGAGTCCCTGCTGATGTGCTTTAGATGGGCATAAGAAGTCAATGGAAAATATAATAAGAACCGTCAGCAGTTGTATGGTTCCGGCGATGAACAATGCTCCTGCGATTATAATGGGCTGGTTAACTCGGCCTGTTGTCAGCATGTTGAGGCTTCTCTATAGTCTCAGAGCCTCAGGCAAGAGGCTATTGTTCGCGGGAGCTGGGGGCGCCTCCTCACAGCTTGTACTTCCGCAGGCCCCCTCCTGGCAGGCTGCATTCCTGCCTCTTGAAGGTGGTTGTTAGAAAGAATCCACAAATATAGTAAGTAAACATCAAAGGGACTTTGATCCACAGGGCCCTCAACAGAGCAGGAGCCCTTGAAGAAAGGGCCAAGGCCTTGCATGAGGGAACTTAACATCGTCAATTTGAGCGCACGAGATGTAAAGCTGTTTGAAGTGAGGTTGGCTTGGCTGTGCCTTCAGATGAGCGTGCTTGGAGAGGATGGAAGAGAAGTGAGCGCCTTTGGGAAAGGCACGCTCAGATCTGCTTCTCTGCTCTTTACTGATAGTTAATAAACCCCTTTAAAGAATCGGGAGATCAAAGCTAGCAACCACCCAAGGCCATGGCATTCTGCCACCTACCCGCCACACTTTGTTTTTCTCTAGGGCAAGAGCCCCTAAGCTTGACTTATCTGTCTTTCACGGGCCCTTTCATCCTGCAATCCATGGAGGGTAGAACCTGGGTGACAAGAGGTGGACAGAGAGGTAGGGAGGGGAAATGAGCTCACCCTGTCTAAGCTCCAACAGCATAGCTGCTAACCGGCCAGGGCTCTGAGAAACACCAGTGTCAAGGGAGGAGTTGCTGTGATGCACCACTCAGTGGGACCTTCCTTCCCTGCGGGACCCATGGAGGGAGCCCCTGGGTGCCCAGAAAGCGTGGCAAGCCCCGAGAGGAGGTGCAGTCACATGCCCTCTTCCAGAAATCTTACCCCTTGTCCATTCACCATGGCAGCTGTCGAGTTTGTATGAGTCCTAAGCAAAGGGGTGGGGGCAGGGAGTCTAAAATAATCCTGGGAAGTCACTTAGCATCTTTGAACTTGGGATTTCTCATCTGCAGAGCATGAAGAGCAATAACATGTCTGCCGAACTCAGGGGGGTGCTGTGGGGGGTCAGAAGAGGAATTTGGTGTAGAATGGCTTTGAAACCCACAAGGTGCTTAAGACAAACCAGGATTAGAGGATAAATACTGGCGAGGACCTCTTGCCTTCTTGTGAGTCAAACATAACTCCAGCCTGACACCCAAGTACAAGGGGCACCCATTTATCAAATACCGTGGGAGAAAAAAAAAGTCTCTTGCATTTACTACCTAGAATTGTTGTTCCGCCTTGCTTTTCCAATTGTGTCAAAGTCTTGTGGGACCAGAATCTATACCTTGTGTCTCTTAGCCATCCCAACCTCTGTGCTCCACACTCGAGTCCAGCCCTCATACACACTTGAGGACGGCACCGCCTTGTGCCTGAATATGAGAATGTCCAGGAATCCCCAGACCCAGAAACTCACTCTCTCCCAAAAAGTAGACTCCTCTACCTCCACCCCTGTGTCTTCTCCCAAATTCACCCAACCACTTCTTCATTCCTCTGAACCACCCTGCTCTGTGTCTGGTTGCATTGCTCCATCCTGGACACCACTAGCTGGACGCTGCCTCTCCTTTGGCAGGCCTGACCACAGTCCCAGCATGAGGTGGATATAGTCCCCAAGCCTGGGATCTATAGAGCCTCATTAACCTATAGAGTAGTGGTTAGGAGCGTGGACTCTGGAGCCATACTGCCTAGATTCAAATTCCTGGTTTGCCATCAGCTAGCTCTTCCATCTAAGACTGCCTACTTAATACATCTGCAAATGGGGATGATATAAAATGGAGATAATACTGGTATGCACCTCATAGGGTTATTGTGAGACTCAAATGAGGAATTACCGGCTTAATAGGATGCCCAGATCATAGCAAGTGCTATGTAAATGTTACATAAGTAGCCCTGTTTATGAGAGCAGCAACTTCATACCCACTGCGAAGGGGCCTTCCCTGACACCTGATCCATTCCCAGCTCACTCACCTGTGCTTTTCTTCCAGAGCTGGGCCTCCAGAGGAGAGGATGCTGTCTGGTGCTGGGCTACATGGCCAAAGACAAGTTTCGGAGAATGAATGAAGGTCAGTGAGAACCTGCCCACTCTCTTGCGGGTAATGTGGAGGGTGGAAGCTATGCCCTGCAACTCTGGTACCAGGAAGAAGAACCTGGAACAGTGGACAGAGCCATTTGATTTCCATGAAGCTCTTTATCTAGAAACATGGGGAAGAGTAGCTAATGCATGAAACACAGTATGCTGATTCGTAAGCACTTTTCCTCATGCTATCTTCCTAACCCTTTGTGTCCTCTATTTCTTTTCCTCTCTCTTCCCTACCTTTGTTCCCCAACCACTCACCCAGCACAATTAAATCTCCTTCTATTATCTTTTTTAATCCAGACCTCTCTCTCTTTCTCTTCAGTCATTCACATTTTTTGAATGCCTATTGAATAAACAGCCCCTTAAAAGGCACTTGGGAAAATCCTGAAGAATGGGCAGAGTTTTTATTTTCAAAGAATTTACAATGGGAAATCTACCCCCTTTTCCAACTCCACTGGCCCTACCTCTCCATCTTACTCATAGGCCATTCTGCCTTCCTCTTGCTTGGGGTCTTTCCTCTGAGGCTTGACCGGGTCACAGGAGGTGACAGGAAGGTACTGACATTGATATGGAGGCTGGGAAGTAAACAGAGTGCTGTCACTTGTGGGCCTGCTATAATAAAGAGCCAATCCCCTCGTCCCCAACCATCTGTCTCCGTGCAGCTAATAACCCTCTTCATCAGATGCCACAGACTGTTTGTCAGGATTCAAAAGCAGATAAACAATGGCTGGGGATGCCATTTATTCATTAAAGTCAGACAAATGAAGCTCTGGCTCTCCACCAGCTTGCCATGAGCCAGGCCCCTCCCCTCCCAAGGCCCAGAGCCCCTGTACCCTCATTCCCATTCCAGGCATGGAGGAGGCAGCTCACCTGTACCACTGCTATCCCCAAAGTTACACCAAAGTTCTGATGCCCTCTTCCCATTGCTCCTCAGCTGACTCTTCTCCTAACCCACAGTCAGTGACACCAGTACCCCCACAGGCTCCCCAGACCTAATACCTTGCCAGCTATAGGTTTGTGGCCAGCACCCATCAGGGTGACAACTTGACAAGAGTCAGGCCAGCACAACTCAGTGCAAGGAGTAGCCCCTCCTTCATTTTGCAGCCCATCTGTGTGAGAAGGCTGTAGCCTCGAGAAGGCACTTCTCATTTGCAGGAGCCCCCTAGCTGAGCACAGCCAGGGTTAGGGGCTGCACTGTCTGCATCCTGCCAGATGGTCTTCCTCCCTGACTTGTCTCTTGCTCAGCCTGCCTCCACCCTTCCCAGCACCACCTGTGTGAGAGGGCTAGGCAGTAACTTCTAATTTGTGGGAATTGACAGGGTACCTCTGTCCGTGGTACTGAATAGACACATTCTCTTGCTGGCATTGCTCGTTAGAGAAGCTGAAAATGAGGTTCACGGGGATTGGGGAAGCCAACAAGTCAGGAACTGGGCTGGATTTGCAACCTCAAGCTCCAAGTGTCTGACCGCAGTAGAAGGATACTGACTCCATATCCTGGGGCCTAAAAAGAATCCTATCACAAGGCTGATGAACACGATTTAACACCCCCATTCTAACCAACCTTTCACAAGTGGCCAGGGGAGGGATATATTAGCGCAGGCTGCCATAACAAAATACCTCAGACTGCATGGCTCAAACAACAGAACTTTATTTTCTCACAGTTCTAAAGATGGGAAGTCTAAGATCAAGGTACCAGCATGGTCAGGTTCTGGTGAGACGGTCTCTTCCTTCTCCCCGTGTCCTAACCTGACACAGAGAGAGAGAACAAGCTCTCTGGTGTCTCTTCCTATAAGGACACTCATCCTATCAGATCAGGGCTCCACCCTTATGACCTCCTTTAACCTTCATTACTTTTGTAAAGGCCCCATCTTGAAATATAGTCACGTCGGGTATTAGGGGCTTTAACATAGAAATGGGGTCTTGATGCATTTGCCATAGCAGAAAGTTATAATGCTAATACTGACCCAGGGTTTAAGAAAATGGTAGGAAAAAGAAATTTAATATTAAGTAGGGAGTAGATATTGTTTAAGTAAAGAGGGAAGGAAGGGAGTCGGAAGGCGACTATAGGAGGACTTGGAACCAAGACCAGGATCTGATTACTTCTGAAGACAGTTAGCTTTACTTTCTACCACAACTAAGCTAAGATGGCATTTTAAAGTTTTTTTTGTTGTTGTTGTTAAAATGGGAAGATACCAAAACAATGCCCTTTCTCTCTGAGCCCCTTCTCCATACACATGCAATCCACACCAATGTGTTATTCCTTTCAATTGACTATGGTTGACTTGGTTAAGAATGAGTGATCCCAGGTGCCTTACCCCTTGCCAAAATCCTCTCCCTAGGGTAGACTCATTAGTAATAAAGCAAGGTATTCAGAAAGAGGGAGGGAATCGAGGCAATGGCCATAGCCAAGGGGTAACAGAGCAGCTAACTCCCCACCCCTACCTCCCTCTTTGCATGTGGCTGGCTCTCACCGCTCCCAACTGCCCCAACACAGATTCATGCACATGCACACAACCACACACCCAGGAGCTGCTGCTGGGTAAACAAGGAGATGAAGGGGTGGCAAGCAAGCTAAACCACCATAGATGATGAGTTACAAACCTCAACTAGAAAACAGGAGACCAGATAGGAGGCAGGTGAGACAGTGGGGCAGAAGGAGAGATGCATATGGTGGGTTGGCTTTGGCTCTGGAGGGTGGAAGGCACAGGAGGAGAACCGAAAGGACCTGCCGGGGGGGAAGGATCCTCTGTCCCCACTCCAGCCAGTCTTGCGACCCCAAGTGCCACATTATACATGTGTTGCTCTCTCTAAAACTCACAAGCCCAAACTCCAGCACGTCTGCAGTTAAGAAAAGGCATCAGTGAGCATGGGGAGCTGTTTTATGGTTTATAATTATCTTGTACCAATACTCAAAATAATTATAACTTCCACATATTAATAATTGAACTGGAATAGCAGCCATGATATAGATCAAGAAACAGAAATCTCTGTCCACGCTGCACTATACACCTAGGTATAAATTGAACAATTGGTAAAATAGTAAAAAATAATTTTCTCCCAGATGCTGGAATTAGTGAGATATTGGAACAATTAGCTGCTTCTTCCATTAAAGATAAGATGGTAATCATTATATTTCCAATTTAGAATAAATATAAAAGACCTACTTGTTCTGTATTAAGGCATATTTGTTCTGTTTAACAGTATCTAATAGGGTGTCTGTCACTCAGGGAGAAGTTGTCCCCTATTTCATCCGTTTCCCTGTTAATTTGGCATATTTTTATTTCCCTCTTCCTCCTCCCGCCCCCTGCTCCTTGCTACATCCCAAAAATAAATAAACAAATAACAGCTGAAGAAGGAGCAAGAGAAAAATAATGAATGAACAGGACTTTTATAGATCTGGGGTTTATCATAAGCTAGAGTAATCACAATTGGTGCTGTTAAACTTCACAAAGCAATAAAAAGAAAGCACTATTCAAAGGTTGTTTAAGGAGGCATGTGATAGTCAATGAGAGGTTTGCTCTATTCGGGATTGCTTAATAGCTTCTCGGATAGAATCGGCAGCATTTGCAGGAATAGAGGTGGTGGGTAATATGTGTGTGTGTGTGTGTGTGTGTTCTCCTATTTGGACTCAACACATTTGAGGCCTTAAATGGAGACACAAACAAAAATCAATGAAGGGCAGACGAGAGAGGAAGAAAAAGACAGATCAGGCATAAGTGTATCAGGCGTGTTTGACATAATTGTCTTCATGTGATTAAGTACACGGTGCTTTAAGTAGGAACTGCTGGAAGGAAATCATTTATTTATTCATCAAAAGTTCATTGAATACCTACCATAAAAATAATCCCAATTTTCATAATAAATGCCAGACAGTATTCTAAGCACTGGAGCTTTCCAAGTAAAAAAGACCTAATCCCTGCCCTCGAGGAGCTCACAATTAAAACACACAGGTACGCCTCCGTGTTACTGTCACTCCACGAAGAAATCCTGCCCAGCCGCCTTACCTGAATTGGACATCCCTCTTCCCGCACCATGATGAACTATTGCGGCAACCAGCTGATTTATTTTGTGGCACTTACTTTAACTGTGATCATTGATCAGACTGTCCCATCAGGAAGGCAAAAACGCTGCTCCCTGCTTTCCTCGCCTATCCTTGGGCCTGAGCCTGGTGTCTCACACATAAGGAGTAGTCAGTCAATTTTAATTTACATAATTATTAGTGCTCCTAGTGACAACAGAGGGAATGCACAAAGCCATCCGCAGGTGCAAGATGGGTCTTGGGAAAGAACCATCAGGCAGCGCAAACCGACGTGGAGCATTGCACACAATGAGTGTCCCCATCTCCAGCTATTCCTGAAGCCTTACCTCTCAGCCTCTCTTCCTATTCTGGGACACTAGTGCCTTCCTGGAGGCCGGGGCCCAAGCAGGTTAGCAGAGGGGAGGCCCCCACAAGTGGGTCTCCCTCCTTTCCACACCAGCTCTCCTTCCTCACCCCATCTACTGCTGGGCCACATTCTCAGGGCATCTCCAAACAGGTACATCCCACCAGACCTGCCAGGGGAACTGTTTCCACTGTTTCCTCATCCTACCCACCCACCGCCCCCAAACACACATCCCTATATTCCCTTCCCTTTTCCTAGCTCTTCTCAATTACCCAGTTTTCCTGGAGATCCCAGAACCATTCACCTTCTCAATGCATATTGCCTGCCCGGGGCTGATCTTACTCACAAGCTCTCACATGGTGTCTGGTGAGCGGCTCTGCCTGCCCCCAGGTTAGAACTTCAACAACCCTAGCAGTTATAGTGCAACCCGCCAACTCAGGGAGGCCCAGGTTCCATGAATGACTTGCCTCAGGTCAGTAGGAAGTTGCCGGAAGAGCCAGGACCACATTCCAGGGCTCCTGACATCCGGTCAGTCCAGTGCTCTTGGAATTCTGAAAGAGGAAGTTCAGACCATGAACAGAAGGGAAGCCGGTAACACTTCAGC